AGGCAGGGCTTCTGGCTGCGCACAGCTGGAGCGTCCCCAGTCGGGGGTTCCCTGCCGCGCTGGGACCCGCACCCGCACCGTGCCAGCACCGGCACATTGTCGCTCTTGCACACGTACCGGAGGCAAAGAGGATGGTCAAGCCCCGGGCGGCCGCCTTCATGAACTCCCCGTTCACACGGCCCATGTAGGCCTGCGACAGGCTGTCCTCGTCGTCCCCGTAGCTCACCGAGTGCACCGCAGGCAGCGCCGACATGTTGCTGAGCAGCAGCAGCCAGGCCAGGAAGGGCTCCTGGCTCTCGTGCCTCCCTGCCGGGACAGAGCGGGGCTGGGCTCAGCTCCCCCTGGGATGGGCTCGGGGAAAGCGGGGCAGAGCACGGGGGTCTGTGCCTCCAGAGCACCCCCAGCACCAGGAGCTGAAGGTCCAGCTCCTGCCCTGCCCCCGGGGAGCAGACCCGCAGCACGGCCGGCCCGGAGCTCTCCCTGCGGCCCTGGTTGGCAGCACGGCTGACCTCGGGGTGCCCACGGTGGGTGGCTCCAGGCTCCCGCCCTGCCAGTGTCACCCCGAACCCCAGAGCAGGGGGGGTCTACCCTCACTCCACACATCGGTGGCAGGGCTGGAGCCACCCTGGGCGTCCAGGCAGCCCTTCCAAGACCCAGTCCTTGGCCCCTGCGCCCCTCACAGCAGGTCTCGGAGCCCGATGTCCGTTCCACCTCCTGCCAAGGTCCTTCTGCCCCAGTCCCCCTCCACGCAGGGGGGGGGAGCAGAGCCCCAGCCTCCCCCAGCTGCCTGCCTCCGCACCCTGTCCGCACCACCAAGTGCGCGGGGCGGCCGTCAGCCCCCACCGAGCTGGTGGTCCCGAGGGCACTTGGCCAGTGTCCGACCCGGTACAGGCGACACTTTGTCCCCCAGCACCGCGGCCACGTTTGCTCTCCCAGACAGCCTCAGTCACCTTCATCCGCTCTGCCCGTGGGCTCACGGGCGAGGGATCGGCCTCAGCCCCTGAGGGGCAGGAAAGCCCAGTGAGACCCAGCTGCTGAGCTCGCCCCCAGGGAAAGGCAGCAGAGCAGGCGACAGCTCTGCATGGGGGCATGGGGGTCCCCGTTACAGGGGCGCTGAGAGCTCACGGGGGTTCAACAGCAACCACACAAATGAAGGGAAGGGGGCTTCCGTTTCCCTCCAAGCTGTCAGAAACCAGCTCCTGCA